TAGGCTCAGTTCTCTTGCTCCTTCCTTTAGAACCCAAGGGGAGATTCCATCTGGGCCTATAGCCTTCGTCACGTCCAACTCTAGTAAACACTTCCTTACTTCCCCACTGGTAATCTCAAACTCTTCCAGTGGTTCCTGGTTAGCTATTCCCTCAGTTACCTCTGGAATTTCTCCTTGCTCTAAGGTGAAGACCTCCTGGAATTTCTTATTCAATTCCTCACACACTTCCTTGTCATTTGTAGTGAATCCTTCCGCCCCTATCCTTAATCTCATAACCTGTTCCTTTACTGTTGTTTATCTCCTAATGTGGCTATGCAACAATTTAGGCTGAGTCTTTGCCTTGCTTGCGATGTCATTCTCGTATTGTCTTTCTGCCTCTCTTCTCATCCTGACATATTCATTCCTGGCATTCTGGTATCTTTCTCTGCTCTCCAGTGTCCTGTTATTCCTATAGTTTCTCCATGCCCTTTTACTTTGCTGCTTAGCTAGCCTACATCTTTGATTAACCATGGGTTTCTCATCTTCATTTCTCTGTTTTCCTTTTGGACTGGGACAAACTTGTTTGCTGCGTCCTTGCACTTCTGCGTGATGTAATCCATCATATCTTGGGCCGTCTTTCCCCTGAGCTCTGTTTCCCATGCTATATCTGTTAGGAATTTTCTTATCTCCTCATAGTTTCCCTTTCGGTATGCTAACCTTTTGATTTCGGTATCCCTCCTCGAGTTCAATAACCCTTCTTCAATCAAGTACTCAAACACCAGTACACTGTGGTCGCTCATTCCTACTGGGTCCTCAAAACCGATTTCTCTTATGTCGGAGTCGTTCAGAGTGAAGACTAGGTCGAGTCTCGCTGGTTCGTCATTGCCTCTCATCCTTGTGGGTTCTCCGACATGCTGGGTTAAAAAGTTGCTTGTCACCACCTCCAATAGTTTGGCTCTCCACGTATCCTCGCCTCCATGCGGTTCCTTGTTCTCCCAGTCAATCTTTCCGTGATTGAAGTCGCCCATGATGAGCAGGTGGGATCTATTTCTACAGGCAGCAGAGGCTGCCCTCTCAATTATAGTGTTTAACTGCCTTGTTGTTGTTTTCATACTCTTGACTGGGTCTCCTGTCATTTGGTGGAGGGTTGTATATTACTGCTACTACTATTCTTGGTCCTCCCATTGTTATGGTGCCTGCTATGTAGTCTCTGAACTCCTCACAGCCCGGGATGGCCATCTCCTTAAAACTCCATTCCCTTCTCATGAGTAGGGCCACTCCGCCTCCTCCTCTACCTTCCCTCTCTTTCCTTATTACTGTATACTCCTGGGGAAACACGGCATTCGTTATGATTCCAGAGAGTTTTGTTTCAGTGAGTCCGATTACATCTGGGTTAACTTCTTGTGCTCTTTCCCTTAGTTCACTTGTCTTGCTTGTGATCCCATCTATGTTCGAGTACATCACCCTGAAACTGACTCTCTTCTGCTTCTTTTCTGGGGGGGGACCTTTGGGATCTGGGTGAGTGGGAGCTGGGGGGACCTGGCACGGGGGGATTGGTGGAGGAGGGAGGGCTTGGGGTGGTGGGGGAGAGGGGAGGGTACAGGGGTGGATAAGGGGGAGGGGGAGGGGGGCGGGTACAGGGGGTGGATAAGAGGGGGAGGGTACAGGGGGTGGATAAGAGGGGAGGGTACAGGGGGTGGGTAAGAGAGGGAGGGTTGGGGAAGCATGGGGAGGAGAGGCTGTGGGGATAGGGGAGATGGGGGGCTTGGGGGGAGAGAAAAGGGTGGAGGGCTTGGGGGCGTGGGGGAAAAGGGAGGGCTGAGGTGGGTGAGGAAGAGGGGAGGGTTTAGGGGAGTGGGGGAGAGGGGAAGACTTAGGTGGGGTGGGGGAGAGTGGGGGGGGCTTAGGGGGGAGGGGGGGAAGGAGGGCATGGGGGTGGGAGAGACGGGAAGGCATGTGGGAGAAGGGAGGGCATGGGGGATGGGGGAGAAGGGAGGTCCTGGGGAGAGGGGTGAGGGGGAGAAGGGGGGTGAGTGGGGGGAGGGGGGGTGGGGTGGGGGGAGGGTTGCCCTAGGTGGGTACTTAATGGGGGGCCGACAGGGGATGGGGCAGTTTGGTGTCTGTTGGGTAGAATGTGGGGGTGGTGCCCCAATCCCTGTGGCTGTTGCACTGTTTGAGGAGGTTCTCTCCACTTCCCTCTGGGATTGTATGGGTTCTGGGTTGTGGTACTCTGATTTCCTCTCTCTCCCTGCGCTCCTTCCTCGCGTCTGCTGTCCGTATTCTCTCTTCCCTTGTCATATCCCTCTGCAGGAATATTTTCTTGAACTTCTCTACACCTTTTAGACAACACTTCCTTGCTAGTAGTTCCTCTTTCGCGATTTCGCTCATGAAAACCACCTTTATCATTCGGTCTCTGTCCTTGTTGTACTTTCCCAAGCCTGAAAACCTTTTCAACATTTCGCTCAGCTCCCTCCATCCTTACCTCTTTAAGGATCTCTTTAATCATGTTTTTGTCCTTGTCTCTCCGCTCCTTTGGTCTGGTCCCTGTTTGTTCTTTAATGCCTGCTACTACTACTGCTCTATTTCTCTCTATCAGCCGGCTAGTACATCTAGCTGCTTCCTGTGAGGAAGCCACTTCCATGGCAACTTCCTTAACCGCAGACCTAGCTTCAGGGCTCTTTTTAAGCATTTCAGCAAATGAGATCTGGGTTGTGGTGGTCCCCTCCACAGTAGCATTCCCATCTCCCTGGGGTAACGGTTTGTGCCTGTTATTGTGGAAGAGTCTCCTTTAGGTATCTTATCTCCTCCTTTGCTGCCATTAAATCATCTTGCAGGTTGGCTACTGTCTCCCTCATTACCCTCAGTCCTTCACTGAATTCATTCTGCATTCTGCTTTGCTGGAGTACTTCCTTCATCCAGGCTTCCTGTTTCCATCCCATCCTCTGTGTTTGTTCCAGTTTGTGAATGTCCTGCGTTTGGCAAGTCAGAGTTCGTCTCCCTTCCATGATTTCCCTATGAGTGTGTGTGTGTGAGAGAGAGAGAGAGAGAGAGAGAGAGAAGAGAGAGAGAGAGAGAGAGAGAGAGAGAGAGAGAGGAGAGAGAGAGAGAGAGAGAGAGAGAAGAGAGGGGGGAGGAAGAGAGAGAGGGGGAAGGAGGAGGGGTGGAGCGAGAGAGAGGGAGAGAGAGAGAGAGAGAGAGAGGGGGAGGGAGAGAGAGAGGGGAGGAGAGAGGGTGTGAGAGAGGGGGAGGGAGAGAGAGAGAGGGGAGAGAGAGAGAGGGGAGAGGGAGAGAGAGAGGGGGGAGGGGGAAGAGAGGGGGAGGGGAGAGAGAGGGAGGGAGAGAGGGGGGAGGGAGAAAGAGGGGAGAGAGAGAGGGGAGGGAGAGGAGGGGGAGAGAGAGGGAGAGGAGAGAGAGAGGGAGAGAAAGGGGGGGGGGAAATAGGGGGGAGAGGGAAGAGAGAGGAGAGAGAGGGAGAGAGAGAGCAGAAAGAGGGAGAGAAGAGGAGGAAAGAGGAGAGAGAGAGAGAGAGAGAGAGAGAGAGAGAGATAGAGAGAGAGAGAGAGAGAGAGAGGGAGAGAGGGGAGAGGAGAGAGAGAGAGGGAGGAGAGAGAGAGGAGAGAGAGAGAGAGAGAGAGAGAGAGAGGAGAGAGAGAGAGAGAGAGAGAGAGAGAGAGAGAGAGAGAGAGAGAGAGGAGGTGTGTGAGTATATGGGGAGAGGTGGAAGGTGGAAGTGAGGGAGGGGGATGGAGAGGGTGTGTGGGGGTGGGTTAGTGCGGGAGGGTACAGAGAGAGGTTGTGTGTGTGTGTGTGTGCGGTGTGCGTGTGCGTGTGTGCGTGTGTGTGTGTGTGTGTGTGTGTGTGTGTGTGTGTGTGTGTGTGTGTGTGTGTGTGTGTGTGTGTGTTGAGTGCGAAGGGTGTTTGTGTATAGGGGGAGGGGTAGGGGGGTGTCTTGGGGCAGTGTAAGGCGTGGGAACGTGAGGGGTGAGGGTGGGTGAGGGTGAGCGGTCACCAGTGTGTGCGTGCGTGCATGTGTGTGTGTGTGTGTTTACACTGGCTTGTTGTGGTGAGGAGGAGGGGGGGGGTAGGTCTGGTCAGTGGCGGTGTAATGTAACACACAGGTGTGAGAAGCTAGTACCAAGCTGAGGCTCTTGAGCTACTTTTTCGTATTTTAATTAACTTATGTTCAAAGCTAATTACTATATAAAAAACACTGTACACCTTATATGACTGACTTTGAGAGGCACTCACCTCCGAGTAAGCATCCCACAGCACAATTAGGTGATTTATGAAGCGATGTCCGATATTGTTGTTGACGTCCCCGCCAGAGGTCCTCCCACGAGGTGGTCCAAGCTCTTCCCTTCGCGGCCTCTGGTGCCACCGTCTGTGTGTGTGTGTGTGTGTGTGTGTGTGTGTGTGTGTGTGTGTGTGTGTGTGTGTGTGCATACTCACCTAGTTGTGTTTGCGGGGGTTGAGCTCTGGCTTTTTGGTCCCGCCTCTCAACCGTCAATCAACTGATGTACAGATTCCTGAGCCTACTGGGCTCATATCTACATTTGAAACTGTGTATGGAGTCAGCCTCCACCACATCACTTCCTAGTGCATTCCATTTACTAACTACTCTGACACTGAAAAAGTTCTTTCTAATGTCTCTGTAGCTCATTTGGGTACTCAGTTTCCACCTGTGTCCCCTTGTTCGCGTCCCTCCAGTGCTGAATAGTTCATCCTGGTTTACCCGGTCGATTCCCCCGAGGATTTTGTAGGTTGTGATCATGTCCCCCCTTACTCTTCTGTCTTCCAGTGTCGTAAGGTGCATTTCCCGCAGCCTTTCCTCATAACTCATGCCTCTTAGTTCTGGGACTAGTCTAGTAGCAGTGTGTGTGTGTGTGTGTGTGTGTGTGTGTGTGTGTGTGTGTGTGTGTGTGTGTGTGTGTGTGTGTGTGTGTGTGTGTGTGTGTGTATTTATTTGAGTGTTAAGTCATGCAAGTCTCAAGCTAAACAAGACGATAATCACAAGTACTTACCATATGGAACACTCCTCCAGGACGTTGGCAACGATCTCTGTCAGCCACACCACGCCCATGACCACACCCATCTTCAAGAACACCCATCCACTGACACAAAGAAAAATAATGTCAACTATTTCGAGCACTATCGCTTTCGAAAGTTCAGAAACAATACGATGCAAAACGCCGAATAAGAAAAATACTTGCCCAGGCATATCCCAGCAGAAAAAAATTAAAATATTTAATCCAAACATTTTAATAATATTCATACGCAAATCCATTTTTATCCATTTAAAACTTACATGTTTTTTATTTTGTTAGTTGTATTCATGTTATTAGAGAAGGCGGTGATGGTGATGAGAAGGTGACAGAAGAAAGCGACGTTCACAAGAAGAAGGGCCAAGATGATGCCATACTGGTACAGCCACAGTGACGCCATTCCTGCCCACAGTGAGGGAAGGTGTTGAGAGTTTAGCAGGAAACAAGAGAACGTTATATCTTTTAAATATTAAACAAATATCATTAAAGGTTTCAAATTGTGAGCAATAAAAAAGTTTTGCTAAACTATGAGGTATATAACATTTCAAATTCTCTGACGAAATGCTATATACATCATTAGAGAACATTTAAATTAGTTAAACTATATGTTTTCGGTAATAACATATTTTCATGTCAATTTAACTTCACACAGAACTTTGAATTTAGGCACCCAGGCTGGCAATTTAGCGTCAATGAGGACAATTTGGTGCCAAAGCTGAAAATCTGTGGAACATGCCGAACACTCGGCCCGCATACTGACTTTCTGATGCCTTTGTAGATAATTTGGCGACCATTTTGAGAATTTGACGACGACTACAACAATATAGCACCTAAGGCAAAATAAATCCATTGAGGGTGAAATATAGAGCCAAAGTTGACAATTTGACATCAACGTTAAAATTTTGTAGCCGATACATTGAGAAAAATAACTTGTTAGGAGTGCTGCTACAAGGGTCACATGTTAGGAGTGCTGCTACAAGGGTCACATGTTAGGAGTGCTGCTACAAGGGTTACATGTTAAGAGTAAATATTGTTAGACGGGTTAGGAGTGAGGTACTGATACAGAGGTTTAAGGCAGTGATAGAATTAGTTTAGGAGAAAGGGAGGAATCCCAATCATGTGGCATTCTTCCAATCAGGGGAGTTGGAAATGAATGGTTGTCGAGGGCAATTAGTGTCAATTGCCAACTGGAAAAATAATGTAAATCAAATGCAATATTATTAATTGATAACTGGGAACACTTCTATGGAAGGAATGACATGTATTCTCTAGATGGGGTGCATTTATCTAGGTCTGGGGTTGTTGGGGTTGACAACTCATTGGAATCTGTGGCTGGAGGGGTTTGTTTGAGTTTAAACTGTTAGTAGATAGTGGTATTGGAATTTATAGTGGTATGGGAAGTAAGTTTAGAAAAGAAGTCAGTTTTGAACAAGAATTCGTCCATATGGTTACATATGTTAAAAAAGTGATTAAGAGGGCAAAAAGAAACTATAAAGTTTGAATAGCGGGACAAGCAAAGACAAATCCAAAAAGTATTTTCAGTTATATCGAACAAAGATTATGGAAAGGATGTGTCCATTAAAATCTTGGACAGGTACGAAAACTGATAACCAAGAGAGGTTATCTTGAGGTTATCTTTAGATGATTTCGGGGCTTTAGTGTCCCCGCGGCCCGGTCCTCAACCAGGCCTCCACCCCCAGGAAGCAGCCCATGACAGCTGACTAACACCCAGGTACCTATTTTACTGCTAGGTAACAGGGACATAGGGTGAAAGGAACTTTGACCATTGTTTCTCGCCGGCGCCTGGGATCGAACCCAGGACCACAGGATCACAAGTCCAGCGTGCTGTCCGCTCGGCCGACCGGCTCCCTAATGAGTAGTATTTTGAATAAATATTTTATCTCTGTATTTACAGAGGAGGAACTTTATTAACATTATGCTTTCAGCCGAATAAATCTATGTTGGCGGGGAAGAGGACAAGTTGGCTAGCTTAGCATAAGTGTCCTATTTGCTGTTATTATAAATCCCAGTGTCCTATTTGCCTTATTACGAACATTTATGCATTGATTTTTTGGTTTTAAATTCTTACTAATCATAACTTCCAGATCCTTTTCACAATCCGACTTCGCAATATCAAAACCACCCAACTCGTATCTTGTAACTATCATTATTACCTAGCCTCAGAACCTTACATAGGTCAGCATTAAACTGCATCTACCAACCTTTTGACCATTTCAAAACCCTATTTAGATCGTCTTGAAATGATAGCGAGTCTTTTTCCGTGTTTATTTCCCTCCCGATTTTTGTACCATCAGCAAATTTTGCAAATATTGCTGCTCAAACCTGAATATACATTTATATATATTATGAACAACATAGGGACCAGGACAGTGCACACTCGGTGCACTTGCCTCGAGGCACTCCACTTACATTTCCCCACTCTGACCTAACCCCATTTATACTAACTCATTGTTTCCTTTAGTATATCCATGCCCTAATCCAACTTAATATAGCACCCCGAATACCGTGAACCTCAATCATTGCAATCAGTCTTTCATGTGACACAGTATCAAAAGCTCTGCTAAATTCAGGGTACACAACATCACAAACTTTACCACTATCAACTGTCTCAGCTATGCTGGAAAAAATGAGAGCAAATTTGTTAAGGAAATGAATCTGTAAAACCACGTTGTGAATAATTCATTATTTTATGGTTTTCAAGATGAAGACGAATGGTATTTCCAATAATCGATTCAAGTAACTTTCCCACAATAGATGTTAAGCTAATTGTCTGATAGTTTGTCTCAAATGATCTATCTCCTTTCTTGAAACTTGGTATCAGATTAGCAACCTTCCACAACTCTGGCACTCTGCCTGACTCTAATCATTTATTAAATATTGTAAACAATGTCTCGCAAAGCAATTCTTTGCATTTTCTAAGCACCCTGCCAAACACTTCGACCGTCCTGGGGGGATTTTTGGCTTGAGTTTCTCTATTTGTTTAATAACATCCTTCCTGGTAACTGATGAACTAGTCAACCCGTCCTCTTCCCCACCCAAATAAACTTGTTCGGCTGAAGGCATAGTGTAAAGTTCCTTTTTAGTAAATACAGAGATAAAATACTTATAAAAATACTAATCATCTCTTCGTCATTATCAGTTATTTGACCTGCCTCAGTTTTCCTGCCCTTTCCCTAAATTTTGTTCGATATAACTGAAAAATTCCTTATGATTTGTCTTTGCTTGCCCTGCTATGCGAACTTCATAGTTTCTTTTTGCCCTCTTATCTCTAACATTTCTAACCAGTTGGACGAATTCTTGTTCTAAACCGACTTCCCCATTCTTAATCCTTTTGTACCATGCTCTCTTTCTACATAAAAGGTTCTTCCGATCATTTGTTACCCATTTCGGGTGATTGGTAATCGATCTATTCAATTTGTATGCTACACTACGTTCCTGCGATTTGCTTGGAATATATCTAAAGTTATATTTGGAATCCACATCGAAATCTATTTGTACGTCACCCATCGCTAGATTCACGTCTCACTCCATGACCGCCCCCCCCCCCATGTACAGGACTTTCCAATTTATTTCACCCCAAAAAAATTCTTAGGCTATCAAAATCAGCTTTTCGGAAATCTTGCACTCTTACCTTGAATTTTCTGCTAGGTTTGGTGGCCTGTATATAATTCTTAAGGTTTTTTATTAAAAGTTCTTATGGTATCTCCACACGCAAAACTAACCCAAACTATTCAGCATACAATTCCACTATTGTATATTACAATAATTGAATTGTATAACAAACAGGACTATTCATTCAATTTGTCCAAGTCACTTGCCATCCTCCTCTTTCGTAGTCCTCATATTTTTTAATGAATTAACATTGAGAAGAATGAGTCTAGTCCCTCTAGAAAATTATTTACGTGTATGAGAAACACGATAAGTTCTAGTACTGAACCTTGTGGGATCCTGTCGCATCATCCCACCCTGCGATTTCACCCCTCACAGTAACTTGCTGTCTTATGTTGCTTAGGTACTCCTGTATCCACCGAACCACGTTCTATATCACCTCTGCTTACTTCAACTTGTGCAGTAGTCTCTTATTGTATGCTGTGTCAAAGGCTTTCTTCCGACATTCTAAACTTATGCAATATGCCCATCCTTCTGTCTTGTCGATATGTTTACTGTCTAGTTCAATTGCCTTTGTCATGTCCAGTTCTAGAAGATATGACAAAATTTTGTAATAAGCGTGTGTGCGCGCGCGCGCGTGTGTGTGTGTGTGTGTGTGTGTGTGTGTGTGTGTGTGTGTGTGTGTGTGTGTGTGTGTGTGTGTGTGTGTGTGTGTGTGTGTGTGTGTGTGTGTGTGTACACGCGCGCTTGTTTGCATTAGATTGTTTCCACTGCACGCAAGTGAAGAATTGTGGGAGGTTTACGCTTAAAGTCAGCATCCAAGACAAACACAACTGGGTTTCAATTCGTTGTGCTTGTCTCATTTGTCTCGAGAACTGTGTGTTCCTGAGACTGCTGTATTAATCGTTGTCTTCACAAAAATCTTTTGATTTTCTTTCCCCTTTCATTTAATTCCGCTTCCAGGCGAGTGGATGGTTCCTCCATATAAAGGCATCGATCACATTCGAGAAGGAATGGATCATCTCTTACTCAGGTCCAATCCAACAATGAGAGTGCAAGAAATATTTCTACTTGCCTTAATGAGAACCCTTTAATTTAGAAAACTTTAATTTAACTTAAGCACGAGGGATGACAACATATTTTATCGTTTGTAATATTTCCACAATGGATATAGCTATTTTGTACTCACCACGAATCCAGCAATGAGGCGTATCCAGGCGAGGCTTCAGGTTTGACTTATCTGGAAGGATATAATCCATTGCCACCATGAAGACACCCAGCAGAAGAGGGACCCCCCAGGCATACAGGCTGCACCACATGAAGCACAGACTGCTTCTCTTTTGGCCTTCTAACCTGAAGGCAGTAAAGGTGAGATGGAAGTATACTTTTTAATATACAGCTCAATATATTGAAAAATAAAAAATAATATACAAAATGTATATTAAAATAGAATAATGAATAAGTGTGTCTCTTTATTAGCTTAGCATCGATCATGAGAAATTTCTTGAAGCAAAATTAGAAAATTAATAAAAAAATTATCTTGACAAATGTAGTTTAATTCCGAAACTTTCAACATAGTTTTCAGAAAGATGTGTGTGTTGACTCAATTTTGATACCCATTTATTTAAACGCATTTGAGGCAGTAGACAATAATAGCAAATATATATGTTAATTCAAAACTTCTGCCAGAGATAGTTAAGTTGTTTATCTGCTTATAGATACAGATATTGGTAAATCAAATTGATAAAAAAATTTGCCTATCACATAAAATTTTTGCTCTATATTAGGACAATGAAATAAATTTACACCATCACTATTGAGGATAACAATGAATTAAGCTTTAAAATAGGACATATATAAATGAGTGAACACTCGGTATCTGAATGACATCTTAGAAGCACATACTGAAGTCTGGAATCTCTTCAGTTTAGTTCACACGCCTATAACAAAATTTTTATTATTACATAAAAAGTCTCTAGTATGAAAGTTCATTATCCGAGAAATAAACACTCATCCGAATTCATGTAAGATTTAGCCAGTTAAACTACGTTCAAATATCCAAGTGGCTAATTGTGCGTCTTCGGTTAGTCTCACCTGAAGATGATCCACAGGTTGTAACAAATGACGTTCATCCAGAAGAACGTAGCCAAGATGAACACCAGGCTCGATGCAGCTGCAATTTGCAAACAAAAATATATGATTAATCACGGAAATATCACTACTTTGAAAAAAATAAAAAACATCAAGATTCAATACTACACAACATTTACAACCTATTAGCGTAGTTGTGTTGGTAGGGAGGATGTGTTGCCAATTCAGTGCATGATATTTATGTTGAGAAATGTTAATAAAAAATATAAAAAATTAAGAAAACTGCAGATGACTGACTCAGAAGGCAGCTCCTTGTATGAGCTCCTTATATCCACTCAAACTTGTTCAACTATATGTTTCAAATCAACGTTTGAAACAATCAAATGATCCCTCGTCAATTATCTTATCCGGTAATTTGTTCCACAAACCAAAAATCTTGTGTCCAGACAAGCATTTTTTTCAGGCGTTTCCTAAATATAAACTAATCTAATTTATATGCCGAGTTGGGGTTTATTTTATTTGAGATTGGTTGTTGTTAAAGATTCGCTACCTGGAACAAATCGTTCCAAGTAGCACGGGCTATGGTAAGCCCGTAGGTTTTGAGATATATAACGCCTTATAAAGAGTCTTATGCAGAATATATCAGGCATATTTAAATAACATATGTGATCCCTCTAACTCTGCTTAAAATCAATCAGTGTGATCTCTGTAAATTCAACATAACTATCATGACAAAATAATGAATAATTAAGCCACTGGATTACTGAAAGTAAATAACTATCAAAATAAAGCAGCAATGTGTAAAATTGATTAGCCTTACCCATAAGAGTACACATTACGGTGTTAAATGCTTGACGAAATAGTCTGTTTAGTAATATGGTGAGATAAGCAACCAGCATCGCAGCGACCATGGACATGAGGCATTTCCCGTAAAGTAGTGTTCTTAAATCTTCACTGAATGCGATCCGGAATAATGTGATGGACAATGTCAGGCAGGAGAGTCCCAAAAGAACCGGGTCCAAAATTTCATATTTCCAGTGACCGCAGCTTTCATCAACTTGGTCTACACAGATAATGGCCACCTTCACAAAATTGCCGTTCTGATAGTCTATTGTTTCAATACAAAATTTATCTGGATTATCAAGAGGATAATTGCTGCTTTGGCCATTGAGAATGCTCACGTCCTTTGATACATCCTTGTAGATGTAGGAGTTGTTTCTGCAGCTGGGATACCGATATGCTTTAAATATACTGGAACGGAACCGATTACGAGTGTTCGGAGAGTCGGCACACGCTCCAATAACAGAGTTCAGCATTTCGTTGCCGGGACAGCATTTGAGAAGTTGGGGAGCAGTGGTGATGGACCGATTCTCAGTCACAATCAACTTCACACCCACCACCACAATCATCAGCGCACCCAGATGCATGTGGCCCATTTTTCAAAACTCGGTCTATTCCGTTTCTTGCACCTGCAGAAATATTACAAAAGTTATTAGTTTCATTAATACAAAAATAATGCATCGGAATTCAAACAAATAGACCATTAGATTTAACGAAAAAAGGCTTTGTTTAAAAAAAACTTATAATGGCAGAATGTTACGCAACAATCTGAAAAATAGGCAATTTGTAAACGTGACAATCTTAACTTTTTTCTGGTAAGCTGCTGACGATGTTTATTACTCCCTTACAGAAAATATTTTGTTAAGATGAAATGAAATCGTTTGATAATTATTTAAAAACTTATTTCTCATGATTTTTATTACACAATAATAAAGGCATTTTCTTAGTCAAATCCTTTGATAATATGATAATATAAAGTCACTTCATCAGAACACAGTATTCTAGACGAGGAAACATTTTGCAAAATGAGTGACGTTTCCATCCTAAAAAAAATAAACAAGTTTTTATACTGAACGTTGCTAATACTTCTGCACTCTAAGTAGCTCGTTGCAACTTACACAGCTGTTGTGATAATTAGTTTACTGCATGTCACCTACTTCTTGTAGAGGTGTCTTCTTAGCCTTTATTATTGTAACACTAACTCCTGTCTCCCTAGAGCACAGAAAACCTTTGGAAATAGCGGAACCTTTCCGTTCACCGTCTCTCCCCCCACCACCACTATGACTCAACTCCCGGTCTAAATTGCAGGATTCTTTCCTCCCACGACTACGACTCAACCCCCTCTGAGCTAAGTTGTCAGACACCCCTTACCGATATCACCGAGACTCAAAATCCCTCAAGACAAGCTGTCAGACCCTCCTCCCCTTCACCATAAAAACTCGCGACTCCTGAGCTAACCTATCAGACTCGCCGATATGAGACCCACTAGAATCAGAACCATCACGACTAAGAATCCCTCCCAGTTAATCTCAGTCCCTCCTCCTACATCACTCATAATTAAGACGATTCTTCGCGGCGGGGATCGTATTCCAGGGACCTGCCCGAAACGCTACGCGTACTAGTGGCTGTTCAAGAATGCAACATCTCAAAAAAAAAAAACTTTGGGCTAAGCTGTCAGACTGCCCTCCCCACACAACCATAAAGTTCCCAGTTCATTAAAAAATTCCCGTTTTGAATGAACAGCATGTTAAAATTTACTAATGCGTCTGTGGGGTTGACCGCGGGATGTAATGGTCTTGAGTCGAGCATGGGTTGCCTGACCAGGGAGGATTGACCGGGTCTCAGTCCTTAACTGTAGCCTCTGTTCACCCTGCAGTGAATGAGTATCTGGTTGCAAAACGATTTGTCGGGTCTTATTCCGGGGAAATAAATAGGATTAAAGATTAGCCCGAAACCCCCTGCGTGTTAATGGCTATATATATATAATTTTATATATAAATATATATTAGTGGAATATGACCGAAAAGGTAAGATTAATAACTAACACGAATCTTCAATATTTCTTACGTTTTTCTTCAATATCGAGGTTAATTGAAAAATTAACTCCCCAAATTTTTTTTTTTTACATTTTCATTCTTGGTCTGATGCCTAAAAGCGTTTCGTAAGGCTTCTTACATTTACACCTCTGCTCGATGGTACCCATGTAAAAGTTCACAAATAGGACATCTAGGGGAGAACCCATGGCAACCTCATCTACTTGCTTATACAGGCCCATCTGGACTCAAGAAGGGTTCACTCTATAACTTCCATAATACCAATTTTTACACAGTAAATCTCAAATGACTGGAAATAATCTAATTAGACCTAGGATTAACATGGATTTTAGATCACATGCGTCCTCACGATCGATCTACTCTCAATAGAGCAAATATGGCCATAAAGTGAACCAAAGAGGATCAGCAATTGACCGAATACAATCTGCCTTATTTGAAGAGAGCAGCATCGTCTGAAGGCTGTGGTACTTTGGATGACCCAATTATTCGGCGATGTTAATCTGCTCACTCCAGATGGGATCGGATCTAGCTGGTGTAGAAAGTACAATAGGGTCTTCCTTCCCCTATCTTGGTGTGTCACTCTCACCATCATTGCTTAGGGTTTCCTTTTCCGTGGAAGCCATATCACTTTCCTTTGTACCCGGTGCTTCACTTTCCTGCTTCTCATTCTTTAAGTGTTTATGGACCTTAGAGAGGATAGGTTAGGTTAGATATGGGAATCCCGCTCACTCACTTTAATCCCTAAATAGGCACTTATTAACACGAGTTCAGGGTTTTCCTAGATGTTTCAATCTAGCACGATAGTCCTTGTTCAGAAATTCCTGAACATCGTCCAAGTTGTCAATGTACTTTTCCTCTGCCATTTTGTCACTGTACACGAGCACGCAACACTGTACTGAGCACCACACTATTTTCAACACTTTACTTAACAGTGCACTTAATCACACGGAACACTGCACTGAACACTTAACTTCCTAACAATTAACGAACAGGAGAGTTATTCACAGGGGATTGCACTTCACCACTCCTATCAAACTCACTTGACAAGAGGTCGAATCCCGCTGGGGATGCCAATTATGTTACGACCACTTAGGACCAGTAACCGGGTTCTTGACGGATGAACTTATGTGTGGTATCCGACCCCGAGTCGATATTGGTTTTCAAGGAATTGGCCAGATAATATACATATAATAACAAAGGGGGGGGGATTGAACAAAACACTTTTCTTCACCAATATATCACCATAAATAAAGATTATATTTTATATACAAAGTTTGTGAGGGTACCACCTCTGGTGCCAATGTGGGGACCCATAGCCTCGGAGAAGAAAATAAAAAGTATTCAGAGGAGACCTTGTGGTTTCTCACTGAACACTAATATTATCTTCTCCTACCACCCCCATTCTTTTGTATGTACACATATATATTTACTTTATTTGAACTTTGTTACAAAAAAGGAGTTACATATGGGTTACAAAGATGATTATCATAGGTTGTCGAGTTCCTCCAGCTCCTCAGATGGCGGGCAGGAACCCTGGATGCAGTATGCATTTCCCCTCTGTATCGCCACACTGAGGCGCTGGAAAAGAAAGCTTGCAGCTCTTGGGTCCCTTGTTGTTTCAATGAGCCTAGAACCCAGTTCCTTCAAAAAACTGGTAGCACTTTTACCCCAGGCGCCGAGTGTCTCAGAAGCAATGGGGACAAAATTGTAGTGGTGATCCAGTTCTCTATACTTACGGAATTTGGCTGCTTCCCTGTGGGTGGCAGCGCCACCTGGTTGTGCAACACTGAGGTTAATGTAGGTGTTAGCCAGGGTTGATACGCACGTGTAGTCCCATACCAACTGCTTGCCATTCTTACAGGGGTTCACTGTGATACCATCCGGGCGACCAATAAGAGCATCAGAGTTACGGGGCGTTAGGTAACGGGGCTCTCTTTCAGCTGGGCATCCAGCTGTGGTGAGGCTCCTCTTGATGATGTCGTTAACTTCACTGTGCCTCGAGTGCCATCCCCCTGTGCTTTGGCAGAGTAAGCCATTGTGGCCGTACCTGTCAGCCACCACCTCGCCGCAAATACACCTATATCTGGTGTGGATTGGGGCAGCAAGGCGGAGGGCCACAGCAATTCGGAGGGCGTGTGGTGTGAGACACGTGCCAGTTGCCGACATTGGGGTTGCTAACAGGAAATCCCATATATTGGCGACTTGTCACCTCTCCTGACAACTATCTCCTTGTTCTCACGAAGGCTTTCAGCCAATATAGCTTTTAGCCTTAGAGGTGACAAGTCGCCAATATATGTCATTCTTAAAAAAGACGAATATCTGGCGAAAATGAACCTCATACTCTCTGACCAAACTAAGTTCCAAAGGGTAACGAAGGACACTACAGCCGAACTGAAAGCAAAGGTCAACAAACTTATCGAAACTGTGAACGCCAAGAAATCCGGACTCCACCTGCCAAAGATCATTGGGGAATATAAACCTGGATATGCGTATGGAAATGTCAAGACACACAAGCCTGGAAACCCACTTCGGCCAATCATTAGCCAGATACCCACACCCACGTACAGACTGGCGAAGCGACTCAATGGCCTGCTGACTCCTTATGTTCCTTGCGCCTTCAGCCTGAAGTCTCCAAAGGAATTTGTTGACTTACTGCAGGGCACACGGGCCACAGGGATAAGAGCCTCGTTGGACGTAGAATCGCTGTTTACCAACGTACCTGTGGACGAGACAATCGGGATGATAGCCGACAGAGTGTATCGTGATCCGGCCTGTACTCCTCTTGACATACCCGAAAATATCCTAAGGAAACTACTCCAAGCTTGTACTAAAGAGGCACCCTTCTTGAGCCCGGATGGGCACATGTATAAGCAAGTAGATGGGGTCGCCATGGGTTCTCCCCTAGGTGTCCTGTTTGCAAACTTCTACATGGGTACCATCGAGCAAAAAGTCTTAGTCGACATGAACTTGAAACCGGCCATATACTGCAGGTATGTTGACGACATTTTTACACAGGTACCTGATGTCAGACATTTGCAGGAGCTGAAGGAGGCATTTGAGCAGAGTTCCGTGCTGCATTTCACTTACGAGATGGAAAAGGATGGGAAGCTGCCCTTTCTAGATGTAACAGTCATGGAAAAGAGCGGAGGTTTCCACACTGCAGTCTACACTAAGGAAACGAGCATAGGAATGTGCCTAAATGCCAACAGCGACTGCCCAGACAGGTACAAGAGGAGTGTTGTTAACGCATATGTCGACCGTGCTCTAAGCCACAGCTCAGAATGGAAGCAAGTCGACGAAGAACTCTGTAGGGTAAGACAGGTCCTAGTCAACAACGGCTTCTCCAATGGTTTCGTCGAAGACATCATAAGAAGGAAAGTGAAACGCCATGCAACCTCTGAAGAGACAACTAACACAACACCTATACCCCCGATTAGACTATTTTACAGGAACTTCTTTTCCACAGCTCATAAAACAGAGGAAAGGGTCCTGAAAGATATTGTTAATAGAAACGTTATCCCTACAGACAAAAATCAGAGGATACAACTGACGATTTACTATAAAACCAGAAAAACGGCCAGCCTACTCATGAGAAACTCTCCAGACACAAAGCAGAACGCTTGAAAAGAGACCAACGTCGTCTATGCCTTCAAATGCCCACTTGGGGACTGTAAGCTCCAAAAAACCCAGTATATAGGCAAGACAACAACATCTCTTTCTAGGCGTTTAACGATGCATAAACAACAGGGCTCCATTAAGGAACATATAATCTCTTCCCACAACCAAACCATCGCCAGAGAAATCCTAGTAAACAACACAGAAATCATCGATAGATACAGCGATAGCAGGCGGCTTGACGTTTGCGAGGCACCGCACATTAAGAAGTAAACACCAGCAATCAACAGCCAATTAATGCACAACTACATTCTACCCACCTCAAGACTCCGCTCCAATATAGAAGCATCAAGAAATATGGACCAATAGGCTTTCTACAATCACTTCCATTTCAATACCCATTGTTTCGTGTTCTGTCTTGTGTTGATGAAATTAATACCCTATTAATGCCACCTCACCCCATCCACCTCACTCAAATGTAGATATAAACGAAACCAGGAGATGTGTAAGTTCTATTCAGTTGTGTATTTGTAAACTAAAAGTCTTTGAAAATGTAATAAGTTTTACGAAACGCGCTCGTGTCGCGTCAGACTAGAAATACAAATGAATTTTGGAGAATTGATTTTTGATTTACCTCCAACAGTGAAAAGAAATGTACGAAAGATTGAGAAAATTCGTGTTAGAATTATTAATCTTACTTTTTCGGTCATATTTAATAATATATATATACATACATATATATATATATATATATATATATATATATATATATATATATATATATATATATATATATATATATATATATATATATATATATATATATATATATGTCGTACCTAATAGCCAGAACGCACTTCTCAGCCTACTATGCAAGGCCCGATTTGCCTAATAAGCCAAATTTTACTGAATTAATATATTTTCTCAATTTTTTTTCTTATGAAATGATAAAGCTACCCATTTCATTATGTATGTGGTCAATTTTTTTTATTGGAGTTAAAATTAACGTAGATATATGACCGAACCTAACCAACCCTACCTAACCTAACCTAACCTATCTTTATAGGTTAGGTTAGGTAGCCGAAAAAGTTAGGTTAGGTTAGGTTAGGTAGGTTAGGTAGTCGAAAAAACATTAATTCATGAAAACTTGGCTTATTAGGCAAATATGGCCTTGCATAGTAGGCTGAGAAGTGCGTTCTGGCTACTAGGTACGACATATATATATATATATATATATACATATATATATATATATTATATATATATATATACATATATATACATATATATATGTCGTACCTAGTAGCCATATATATACATATATATATATATTATATATATATATATACATATATATACATATATATATGTCGTACCTAGTAGCCAGAACGCACTTCTCAGCCTACTATGCAAGGCCCGATTTGCCTAATAAGCCAAGTTTTCATGAATTAATTGTTTTTCGACTACCTAACCTACCTAACCTAACCTAACCTACCTTTTTCGGCTACCTAACCGAACCTAACCTATAAAGATAGGTTAGGTTAGGTTAGGTAGGGTTGGTTAGGTTCGGTCATATATCTACGTTAATTTTAACTCCAATAAAAAAAAATGACCACATACATAATGAAATGGGTAGCTTTATCATTTCATAAGAAAAATATTAGAGAAAATATATTAATTCAGTAAAACTTGGCTTATTAGGCAAATCGGGCCTCGCATAGTAGGCTGAGAAGTGAGTTCTGGCTACTAGGTACGACATATATATATATACATATATATATATATATATATATATATATATATATATATATATATATATATATATATATATATATATATATATATATATATATATATATATATATATATATATATATATATATATATATATATTGTAAAATGGAATACTACTACACTTATACTTAAATACAAGTGTCTTTTGCACAGGACACTGAACACTTCAAGACGCTCACACAATGCAGCCTCCGTCAATCCCAGTGTTTCCACTACACTCTGTACCTTTCTCAACTTTACTGGCCACAATATTGGGAAACACTGGCGAGTTTACCTTTCCTGTGGGCCAGCCTACCGACAGCATCACAAGGTGCCTCTACCCCCCACGACCACTCTCCAGCCAAGTGCTGGCAGAGAACCTCTGCCACGCTGATTGGGGCCACAACACAATCAATACAGGGGGTAGCAAAGCCCTGACAGAAGCCTCTAGCGACTGGCTAGTAGCGCTCCTCAATAGGCACCTCACTGTCGCTCGTCTCTCCCGTTAGCCAGTCCCGGTAGACGCCGATCTCTTCCAATGCTAATCCAATAGCAGACACACATACTCTGCTTCTGATCGGCGCCGGCTTACTTAGTCGTTTGGTGGGACTAAGTCGGGAGAGCTTAGGCTACCCAATGTAAACTGCCTGCCTCAGTACCACTGTTGCCCCACGTCACCAAGGTGGTTACAGACGTCATCAGTTATATGGATGGTACTCGTAAAACCAGGAAGCAACACTTACTCACTCGGGAGTTGACATTATGCACGTAGTTGCAATAGAGGCACTGGTCTTGAGTCGCCACTTCAGAGGTCATCCACAATCCCTCTGTTATAGTTCATAAAGTGAAATTGGGAGATAGAACAACAAACTAATTGCTAAATAATTTGAGACACATACTTGGAGCCTAGCCTACGTTGGTTATTGTAAAGATGAAACTACAAAACCCTTCTACTGTAATAAGCAGATTTATTATTGCCATGGGAACATTGTAGTGGGTGTATTTCTAAACAGGCAGATGACATGACGTAACGGAACATTATATATAATTGATGACCAAACCATACATCAGAATATGGAGAAACGGGAAAGTTTCTGTCTGTCTTGGACCATTATCAAGTCGTGTGTCGACTTGATAATGATACTTGATAATATCACAAACGATTTAATAATGGTCCAGGACGGACCGAAACATCGTCGTTTCTCCATCTTCTGATGTGTCGTTTGGTCATCATATCATCAGCCACGTTACTGTGACTCGTCGTCTGCATTATATATAATTACACGCACAGCTAATCGAAAAATTCAGATCTAGCCACATACGGAAATTTCCTAGACTAAAGGATATACTTACCTTACTGGCGTTTGGGGTGGTGTTGACGGCGGTGAAACGGAAAAGTGATGACGTGGACGTAGAGAATCCGTGATGTTGGCGAGGGTGTAGGCCAAGGTTGGTGTTGGGGAGAGGTTGTACTGGCGAGTGTGTAAGCTTGGGGTGTTGTTGGAGAGGGTACAGGGTAAAAGTTTCGCAAGGGAGGGGGTGTTGTTGGCGAGGGAATCTAGTAATGGTATTAACGAGAGTCTAATGAAAACATGATATTACCGAGGGTCTCACTTCAGAAGGAGTTGGCTTCGTTAACGTATGTGAACAAATGTTGTGCCCTCGGCAGTGTAGCGTAAGTATCAGTGCACCCACACAGGATATCCTGGGAGATTAACGCTGCTTCTGTCGTTCTGCGGCACAATATTTTTAATGATAAACATTACTGTCGCTCTTAGATAAACCTAGTTAAACTCCACAAACTCAAAATCTAGATAAACTCCACAAACTCAAAATCTAGTTAAACTCCACAGTTTTCAAAACAAATAGCATGATATCCCCTGATTGCGACATCACTAGACATTAGCCGAGCCTGTTTTTTGTCATCACCTAGCGATATATTAAGCAATGTGTAAGTATCCAATAGGAAAATGAAACGAAAATTCCTAACGTTTTCGGGTTTCACCACATTATCAAGGAAATATAGAGGACATAAGGGTTTGGAATTATATATCCAACTACACCTGATAGACAAAAATCAATAAAAATTATCAAAAGAAGGCGCCAAGCCGGGAAACTATTTAGCACCATCAAAGGTGCAGGATATTCAAAAGGCGCTAAAGATCACTAAGGATGCCAATACGAGAACAAAAATGCATAAAGCGAGCGATATCAAAAACATCTGATTCATCAATGATTCTATCGAGGGACAAATGACCGCGAGGAACAGTCGAGAAGCATGACACATGCACGTCCTGGACGTCAGGACATTCAACTAGGATATGCACGATTGTAAGAGGGACAATGCAGTTCAGACAATTAGGAGCAGGGCGGCGCTCCATTAAGTGTCAGTGATTTAAACGTGTATGGCCAATTCGTAACCTCACCAGAGCCGTTTCCCACCGCCGGTAATGGTGGTAAAGATCCATAACCTAAACTATCGATTAATGGAAATACATGAAGGCGAGATGATTAAGTAGATATTAACTGGGTATTACCTCATTCTTGGAATGTACTTCACATAAATTTATTGTTTACATAATTGTATACCTATCATAAATTTTACAAATCATAAAGTTATCTAATTTATATAATCCTGGACTTACATTAATATTATCTAATTCAGGACTTTTTATATATGAAAATACAATAATATTTCTTTCGGTAACTGATTTACACATCACAACGTTGCATGAATTAGTCAAGTCAATTGAATGATTACAAACTTCTAAGGGAACAAATAATGTATTGGACTCTTGACCTGTTCTAATACTATGTTAATGTTGTTTTATGGTTGTCCAAAAAAGGTCCGTGTTTACCTGTTTGGTCATAAAGATCACTTTACAATCTTTAGATGGAATTTTATACACACATCTATTGAAATTATCGGGAAAATTTTTAACGAGTTAAAAATTTGTGTTTTTTTATATCACTCAAGATTCCTAAATGCAACATTGATATTAAATTCCTTTAGTAATTTAAGATTTTAATTTAAATTATCATGAAATGGCAGAGTTATTGTTTTCTTAATATTGGATTATTCTTTCTACTTCACACTAAAGAAACTGTTACAAGCAATTTGGCTGGATTTTTCAATAAATTACTTAAGGTATTTTAAATTGAGACCTAGACTATAATACAATACAATACAATACAATACAATACAATTTTATTTAGGTAAGGTACATACATACAATAAATATTTACAAGGATTGTTTGACTTAAAGGTAGAGCTAGTACATACAATGCCTAAAGCCACTATTACGCAAAGCGTTTCGGGCATGATAAACTTAAATGACAAGCTTAATACTAATTGAGCATAATGAGTAGAATGAAAACAAGAAATGAAAACATAGATGAAAAAGCAGCACAAATACAATTATGTCGACAAACAGCGCTCTTTAAAGAAAAAAACAGACATTGGTTGACAATAGAAGGGTAAGGTAGGTTACAGGGAATTTATTAGGTATAGCTTCGCTTTTAACTTAAACTGGTTGAGAGAGGTACAGTCTTTAACATGGTTGGGAAGGTCATTCCACATTCTGGGCCCCTTGATTTGTAGAGCATTTCTAGTTTGATTAAGTCGTACTCTAGGAATATCAAAACTGTATTTATTTCTGGTGTGATGCTCATGGGTTCTGTTACAACCTTCTATGAAGCTTTTGAGATCAGGATTGGCATTATAGTTTAGCGTTTTATATATGTATAATACACATGAGAGAATGTGCAGTGACTTAATGTCTAACATATTCAGAGATTTAAGTAGGGGTACCGAGTGATGTCTGGGGCCAGAATTGGATATTGTCCTAATAGCAGCTTTGTGTTGAGTAATTTAGTATAAATTACTAAATTAGTAGATTAATAAATTAGTAGATTAATAAATTAGTAGATTAGTATAAATTAGTAGATTAGTAAATTAGTAGATTAGTATAAATTAGTAAAAATTAGTATAGATGGCACTAATTTAATTATCTATAAACTCAGGACTACATATCCCTTTTGCCCTCGGAAACATACAAGAAAATACAGCTTGTTTTACTCTTTTATGACGAGATGAGCAAAAGTGTACATAAGAACCAGCATTTGTTGATTTTTCATATTCAGAAAACTTGAAATTATTTTCAAAAATACTTTAATGACAAAGGGACTGCCAAAAGGAAGCACCCTGCATGGGGGACGCGCACAGATGTGAGGCATGCACGATCACTGGAGGTTGTTACTGCCTCCAACAAAGCTGTGGTTTCTTTGTCTATAATGATGCTGTCCAATTTGGATTGGTTCTTGGCTTTCAGCTAGGTTGATCTGAGTGCTTAGTCAGCCAGGGTACCCCATTTTGTGTTGAATTCCATGTAGTGGGGGTCATGTATCCCTGCTGAGTAACCCAGGTTATCTGATAGAATTTCCTTGATCAAGTCATCCGATGCCGAGGAGGAAGACAGGAAGGCTAGGACAACAATTTTGGGTGGCAGTGTGGACACCATGGCTGCCGAGCCTAACTGGAAGAGTAGCTTGTTTCCATTGACAGTCCTTGAGGAAAAGGTTGACAAATTTTTCTAGTATGGTCTTCCGTAGGAAATCCTACTGAAGCCCCATCTTACAACATCCCATCTTTGGACCAAAGAGCCAAAGCTCAAACCCCCGTAAGCCCATCTAGTAGAGTACAGCTTTGGGGTGTTGTAAGATAGGGTGCACCTCAAAAAGTACGCTAACCTCGGAAGGGATAGGCATCTAATGAGGAGATAAAATGCGTTATGAGCATCGATATCACCTATCCTGTCTGCAATCCTCCGTGATTTTCTTATAAAGGATCTCGTCAGTGACGTCAATAAACGAGCCCAGATAGGGTCACCCAGCTTCCTTGGAAGGATTTACTTTTACTTTTAATAATGTAAAAATATTTATTTATTTAATAATTTACTTATTAAAAATAAATTTATTTTTAATAGTGAACATTGTTTAAAGACTTTCGGAATGACAATGGGGAATCCTTAATCGCCATTGCTTTCGAACTTGTATATGTAATTCTTCGAAAAGAAATATGTTTCCCAAATTACCCCTGGAATCTTCCTATGGTTTAGATATTTTGATGATATTTTATGTATATGCTCTATAAATGTAAATTCAGACGAATTTGAAGCTAAACTTAATGATCAATTCACCTCTATAAAATTTATTATCGAGACTGAAATTGAAAAATGTTTGCCATTCTTAGATATACTTATTCATAGGGAAGATTTTCCCTAAAATTAAGTGCTTACAGAAAGCCTACGAATAATTTATCTTATTCATTTAGGCCCCTTAACTCGACGTTTGGTTCATCCCACAGCGCCAGTTCTGCTAATCAAAAACGGCCCACCAGATACTCAGATTAGTCTGGTCGTATTGGTCGAGCGCTTAAGGGATCCTGTACGCCAGCAAAGTGCTCCTGGCAGTATGGGTTCGAGTCACTTCTGGGGTGTGAGTTTTCAGTTGCAGTTTCAGTGAGTTTTCAGTCCTGGGGACCATTCAGGCTTGTTCCAATTTATCTTATGTTCATTATTTCTCAGGACATTGATACAACATGAAACAATCAATTTTGTCCTATATGTGGGATATTTGAGCTTGATTCTAATTAATTAATAATTAAAATAGTAAATTAAATTACGAAGGACCACCCACTTTTAAAGTAAAGAGGGAAACTGAGAATTTCAGATCATTAGATAAAATTCTAAAGAAAACCAGTGACTATGGATATAACTAGAAAACATGATCATAAGAATAATTAATGGGCTGTATTATTAAAGAAACAAACCTCAAACACCTACATTGGGGAGTTATTACTGGAGGTAAGAACGTCCAGGAATCAGTGTGGTTCGTTCACTAATTCGATTAATAATAATCTAATCCTATAAATAATGCTGAATATAATATCATTCACATAAAGAAGAACATGAATATGAGCATAGTAATGAGTTACAGTAAATCACACATTAATATCAAACGTTCTGAATACATCAAATTGCAAGGAAATGGATAAAAAGAAATAAGCCTTAGCTGGTAGCAGATTCCTTTAGATAACCATGGCAGTCCTCTTAATCTCCAAGTCTGGTACACTGACGAATGGTACGGTTAACATGGAGAAGACAGCATGAGGAATTCGTCTCTCGAGCTGCAAGATAAATAACTACCAGTAGCAATTGATTTAACTAATCAATTCATATTCAAAATTATTAATATCTACAGATGGAATTCTAATCACCTGTTATTAGGTGTTATCCCGCTGCTTGACGAACAATCACCCCGCTATTATTAGACCTGTAAATGATGCATCAAATAAAGGGTACTTAGCTGTGGGCACTGTATAAGTATTAAGATTGCCGTAATTTCGCATCCCAGGCTCCAGTGAACCTGTCCTGGATTGTGATGCGTTTCAAGCTGGCTGATCACGTGTGGTCAGGAACCAAGTCTAGGGGTCCCTCATTTAACACCAGCACTAGTTGAAGATATTATCTGCAAGGTCGTTCACGCCTCACAGTGGCGGCTTTCATCTGAGGATGAATAACACCTGCCCGATTTGCTGGGCAATGGCGTCTTTTATGAGTACGGTAAGCACAGTTCTGCCTCCTTTCGGCTCTGCACGTGTCCGCGTACTGAGGATGGTGGCGTCCCTCCAACCCACGCCGAGTCGACGTTCATAACACAAATTATTGTCACGAACATTAATATTTCTCGCATTCGCGCTTGAAACTTTAAAGACTGGACGGGTT